TCGTGGACTATTGAAGACAGCCACAAGGTGACTGATCGAGACAGCCCAATTCCCGAAGTTCCCCCACGATTTCAAGCTGTTAGCATGCCAGCTCGGTTTCACAGAGTGATCACCGGCCAGGTTGGACCCACGATGCGGTCCCGGACTATTGAGATGACTTCTCCAGCTCCATCTCCACCACAGAAGCCTGCTCAAATGCCTCCTGAAGAACCTCCACTCCCAGATTCAACACCAGTTGTATCACCTGAGAGCAGGCCAGCAAAGAGGACTCGTCTCCAGCAACCGGGCTCATCTGCACGACCACAGAAGTCTTCTTCTTCAGCACCTGCACCATCCACGACACCACGTCGTACTACACTAGTTGCAAGCAAGAAGAAGGCTGGTACTTCTCTTCCAAAGGACGTCTCTAAGACGTTCGGTCAACATGTCCAGCTCCAGCAACATAAAAAGGAATATGCAGATCTGATGAAACGAGAGGTCATCCCTTCTCAGTTCATGGACTATGAAGCATTGCAGAAGACCGAGCGGGCTGAGGAGGTGATGACATATTTCCGCAGGATGAATTGGGCAAGATTTCTGGAGCTGCACTTCCCCACCTATCCACACCTCACCAGAGCATTCTTGGCCACCTACAGCTTCGAGGATAGTGGGGTTGAGAGCAAGCTTCAGAGTACTTTGGCCGGGAAAACCAAGTCACTCATTTTGAGCCAAGTGAACCGAGCACTTTCACTTCGATGGTGCAGCAGATGCAATTCCTGATGAAGCACAGGATTTGAGTGAGTTTTGGAAGACAATTGTGGCAAATGGAAAGGACTTCAATCCTAGTTCTTCGAGGAGAGCATCGATCCGAGACCCCGTGATCCCACTAGTACATGACTACTTGGCTCGCACTATCTTAGGAAAGGGATCCAATGCCAGTGGTATCTACACCACCGATCTCAGGTACATTCACAGTTTCGTCACTGGAGCACCATTGTGTGTTGGGTACATGGTGGGTAAGATGCTTGAAAATGAAGCACTCAAAACTTGTGGAGCTATTATGTGTGGGGGAATCATTACTGCATTAGCTCGAGCTTACTGGGGGTTACCATAGAACCCTACGGGTTTGGAGATCAGTGAGGGCTCAACTCTGCTTGGGGAAACAACGTTAAGCAAATTGGGTTTTCTGAGGAAAGCTGGATGTCGTGGTGAATATCTATCCATCGCCAAATACAAGGAGTGGGAGATTGAGACCAATCGGAAAAGGGCTGCAAAGGCAGCTAGAGCAACTTCTACTTCAGCATCATCTCCAGCACCATCGGTAGCCACTCCGACAACAACTCCAGCTCCTACACCCATGCATCAGGGTGCTCGTTCATCATCACCTGCACCAGCAACAGCAGCAGCAGGGCACTCTGCAACGAGTGTCGGTCAGAGTCAGCATTCACATTCACCTCCTGTTCCGCATCCAGGAGATACTTCGCCAGTTGTACCAGCTTCACCATCATCTGGAGACGATCTCAGAGCCAGAATAGCTATCTTGGAAGCCAGAGACGCAGAGAAAGATAAGAAGATCAAGGAGCTCAGCCAGCGTCTAGATGAGAAGCTCGGCACTTCTTCATCGGCCCCTCCTTCACAGGAGCTTGTCCCGAGTTTTTTTTTTCTTTTCTTTTCTTCTTTTCTTTGTGAATACTTCTCGTAGTGGATGATGGTCTGTAATAATGTTAGTTAGGTGAACCTGTTGGTGTGTCGTGTGTAGTAGCAGACATTTTGGACAATGTCCATCCTGAGTGTGGGGTGGATGGTCTGTGTTATTGCCGTGTTTTATGTTTAGGTGTCAAGTCTTAGTTGTCCACAGTGTCTCGTCATGGTTATGTCTGGAAAAAAAATTGCCATTAGGTTGAGCACAGCCAAACTGCATGCAGTTTGCCTGTGCAAAAAGCAGTCTGCCTGTGCAAAGCTAATGGCTAAAAAAACACCTAAAAATCAGAAAAATTAAAAACAAAACCTTGTACTCTTGTGGTAACATGATGTAAATGACCGTGATGCCTTGAAAATGAGTTTGTGCTTGAATGAAATCATCAAAATCACCCCACTAGTGTTGAATTGCATAGTTCTTCACAATGAGCTTGATATTTTGACTGACTTGATATGCTTTGAATGAGCAAACTCTTTTAGCAACATTCTCTTTTGTGAGGATAGTGTGATGACTTTTGGTGAAGTAGTTAGGTGGAGAACATTGACCATTCGACATGTTTGGATAGCGTGCTTACTTACATCAATTGTGAGCTTTTGATTTTGCAAAGAGTCTCTCTGTTTTGATGGTTTTATGATGGGGTGAACTGTATCTTTATAAAAGAAAACGTTACCTGACAAGTAAAATATAAGAAAGTTGCCATAACAATTAAAGTGTGGGTAAAATACCAAAATCGTGTGAGGCAATCACTCATTGCACATGGGGATTAGGAAAGATTCAATTGAGAATCGGTTCGCGACCGAACGATGTTGCTTATCAAGTACGATCCCCAGTTGAGTGAAGTGCCATTAGAGGATGTGCAATGACCCTCCACACGGACCGAGGAAAAGGAGTTAAAAGAAGCCCTTATGCGAGTGCTAAGAAGCAGAAATTGCTCTTGCTCAGTCACCGGTAGTAAGAAACAAATCCCACTTGTACTAAATACAACCACTCGGCAAGCAAAAGCAGAAAGAGAGAAAGCCTCTCCTTGTTATAAAAGGTAGTGATGTGCTTAAAGTTAAAATCATGTTTGCGAAAGGCTTCCCCCATTAGTTTTTTAGACTCATGCTTTGTTAATTGCTTATGATTGGTGTGAGTAAGCCAGATTTTCCTCACGAGATATGCACCTCACTGATGTGGTTAGATTCTCCTAATAACTGTTACACCATAAGTTGTTAACCACCCACTACCGACGACCTAAATTGAGTGCTTGCTAATTGAGTTTTTGGTGGATTTGAGTCAGTCAATGGTAATGGTTGCAAAGACCTTGAGTCTGGGGTGAAAGGTATGACCATTAGAGCACAACTTGTCCGTTGAGAAAGAAACTACTGATTACAACAAGAGTACAAGGAAATTTTGTGTTTTGCTTTGAGTGTTTGATTAGTGAGTCTGTGGTGTGTCATTGTTATGGTTAGTTATGTGTTTGTGTCTTTTGATTCGTTGCTTAGGGACAAGCAACAATTGAGTGTGGGGTTGTGATAATCGGCTTTAACATATTGAATTCTTGGACTTTATGTGATTATCCCATGGTATGTTTTAGCCAATTGGTGCTATTTTAGGGCTCGCTAACCCGAGAATGGTTGAAAAACCATTACTGCCTAGTGCCATGAGTTTGATGTATTACAGGTAAAGAAAACACGAAAAAGAAGTGGCACCGGCAAACAATTCTCGAATCACTTGCTAAATAGCACGTGGGCCTGGATGGAGCAGGTGGAGGGAGTTTAATGGCTGGTTGGTGATTATTTCAGGCTTGGGACATGGAGCTAGGCTCAAGGCCCAGCTGGACCGGGGGAAAGGAGCAGAAGAAGTGGGCTGGACTTTTTGGAAATGGCTGGCGGCCATTATGGAGGGAGCAGGGGGATAATTGCAACAGAAATTGGGGGGAGAATAAAAGGCAGCAGGAATTTTTGGGCCAGGGAATTGCACAGGAGGGTCGGCTGGGAATTATGGCCCACTGAACTACTTGGACCGGGCGGCTATTATTGGGGAATTGGAAGAGGAGGAGGAGAAAGAAAAAGGGGGAAGGAATTTCTCTGGCGGCGGAATTTTTTGGAAAAAGAAAAGAAAGCAGGCGCAGCGCACAACGCTTGGGACGAGAGGATAGCTTCATTCGGCGATCGACAGTCGAGATTTCCAAGGCTGCCTGAGCTGAGTTCAACGAGAGCGATTAGTTGGTTGGATTCTCTGAACCAAATTAGTTGTTTATTGTTGATTTGGTACATGATGATCAAAACCATATTGTTTTAACTCAATTTCATCATGAACTAAACCCCGATTTCTGGGGGAAACACCATAGGATGTAGCTAGTTCTGGATTTGATGGATTGATTCATAATTCTTTTCTTCCAATCTCTATTGCATGAAATTACTTAATGCTTTGTGTTGACTGGCCACCAATAAAACGATTTGTAGTTAATTAGGTTATTAGCGACAGTGAAACCCTATTAACTGAACCAATTTCATGTGACATAGTAACTTATCGAAGCGACAATGGATTAAATAAGGTTCTATGCGGCCTTAAATAGGATATCGGTCTTCAGACTAAATAATTAACTCATTGAACTACGACAGTAGGATTTGAATTAAATGCTTAGTACGTAGTAATTCCCGACAGGGATAGCTAGCACAGTAGTGATATCCTGGATGTAGAGATATGGATTAAATTGATTGGATTATGTGAATTAATCTGGATAGGATAGGTAGTGAGTCCCGGTGTTTCTCCCAGAGCTTACTCCCATTGATTTTCTCCCGACCATTTTACTTTGCTTAATTAGTTTAATTATTTTGCTAGTAGTTAATAATCTCATTAAACCATTTTCACCTATAGTTTTCTCTACAAAATTGATAGAACTTAAGGTTGTACCAGTCCCTGAGAGACGATACCCAGACTTTCCGGTTTACTACGAGATAGGATTAAGGCATACACTTTTGCCCTATCAATGAGATTAAGAGTGCACTTGTCTATAAACAACCCGCTTAAGAAGAAGCTAAAGCTGAATATTGGTGGACGATTAGTGGAATACCAGGTGAAGTATGAGAAATTACCTCTGTTCTCCATTCTTGTGGGCGAATTGGGCATGTCAAGCTCAAGTGCCCTCATCCGTCACTCCTGCCGGCAGATCCCTTTGGCTTTGATCTTAGGGCAGCACTACCAGCCCCACGCAACTGGTTGCCTTCAGGAGCAAAAAGGGCGAATGCTGAAAATATGGAGGCAGCTACGTCAGAAATTTAAAGTTGAAAGCACTGGATCAAATCAACATGTTCGACAATCAAAAGAAACAGAAGCAATGAGCATGAAAACTGATAAGAAGACACGGGTTGAAGATCATGATGGTCCTCAAAACATAGAGGACCTGTGGAGGAAGGAGTATCACCCGCAGGAGACTACAGAGAAGGAAAATGAGGAAGTTGTGCAACAGTCCTCTGATCGAGCCCCTCTGGATCCCAAGAAGGGAATCCCAGTGGACGCACAACAACAAGTTCAATCAGGTAACCTGGGATTTGGGTTGGGAGTGGGAGCTGTTAAGAGACTCCTCATGGAGAAACAAGAGGAAAGAGAGAGTTGGAAACCAAAAGGAAAAAGCTGGAAGAGACAAGGACAGACAAAACATAGGGAGGGTGAGGGAGTGTTGTTAACTCCCCAAATGAGAACTCATGAGTCATGTGGACAGGGAGGAGGTTCCTACCCCGATGGAAGAGGAAAATATGACAAACAAGAAGGCCAGAACCTTAATTTTCCCTAAAGAGGCAACAATGGTGGAGGAAGTTCACAAAACTTATATGGATGGTGGTAGGGCGGACCCTGCAGAAGAGCAGGGCAGCCGTGCTCAATGAGTCTATTGAGCTACAACTGTCGGAGGCTCGGGAATACCCCGGCAGTTGAAAGGCTTAAGACGCTATTGCGTCAAAGTAATCCCGATGTGGTGTTTCTAATGGAGACAAGGCAATATGAGGAAGAATGGAAAAAGAAGATTAGCGAATTAGGATATCATAATGGCAAAGGGGTTGCAGCTACGGTGAATAGAGCGGGGGGTTTTCTGATGATGTGGAAGGAGGAGGTAGACGTGGAGATCAAAGATTGTGATTTGCATTTTATTGATGCCCAAATCAAGATGCATAACTGCCCAAAAGCGTGGAGATTGACTGGACTCTATGGTTGGCCACAAACGCAGAACAAGTACAAAACCTATGAGATGCTTCAAAAATTAAGCCGGCAGGTGGAGATGCCTTGGCTCGTTATGGGGGATTTTAAACTCATGGCGGATCACCTAGAGAAGAATAGCAAACATGGCCCAAATGAGCGAGAAATGGAGATGTTCATAGATTGCCTAGAAAGTTGTAGGCCAGAGGATTGTGGTTTTTATGGACGAACCTTCACGTGGGAGAATAACAAAAAAGATGAGAATTACACAGAAGAAAGGCTGGACAGAGTTGTAGGGAATGCAGAGTGGCTAAAGCTATACCCCAACATGCGTGTGAATCATTTGGAAAGATGCGGTTGTGATCACATACCAATCCAAATGAAACTTGACCTGGAAGACGAGGAGACCACATGGGGCTGGAGCTTTCGCTATGAGCCCTACTGGGAGCGACATGAGGACTGTGGGAAGGTGATCGAGGAGAGTTGGATGGGGGCTGGTGGTGGTACCCTAATGGAACGAATTCAGAATGTGGAGATGAGGTTAAGATCTTAGTCGGCAACTGCTTTTGGTTCACTAAAGGAGAGAAGAAAGATAGCTGAGAAGGCTCTACGAGTTTTGGAAAAAAGAAAGAGGACGAAAGCAGTGCTACAACAAAGGAACATTATTGAGCAGTAACTCAATGAAATTATTCTTCAGCAAAAGATTAAATGGAAACAAAGGTCGAGAACTGATTGGCTTAAGGAAGGTGACTAGAATACTGGCTACTTCCACCGCAAGTAGGGATGGCAATCAAACCCATGGCCGCCGGATTTCGACCGCCCCCGACCCAGTCAACGCGGGGAATCCTCGCTTTGACCGGGTAAGGGGCGGGTATGGGTAAAACCCGCAAAAAGTTTGATGGGTATGGGGCGGGTATGGTTTTAGCCTCCCCCGCCCCATACCCGCCCCACCAAGAGAATTTCTTCACATATAAAAAAAATATGTGGATTAAGTTGTAATCTATCAATGATGATGACGATAACTCGAGAAAATAAATAGTAGAAATGCAATTGAGTAACCACCTTAATCAAAACTTAATTCATTTCCCTCAATTCTCCTTCCACTCTTTCACTTTCCCCATTGTCAACAAGATTATGTTAGTTAATTATTACTTAGTAAATGTATCAAGAGTTAGAGCATAATAATTTAAAAAATATTGTAGTCTATATTATGTATTAATGGATGTTTTAGGAACATATTCTTTGAATCGTATTTAGAAAATGACCGTGTTTTGTTGACTTCATGATATAATAGGTTTGTTTATGGTTATAATTAAAACTTTTCTTGTAAGTTTTAGGTATAATAATATTGGATGTACGGGGATGGGTATTACCCATGGGTACCCGAAACCCACGGGTATGGGGATGGGTTTGCAAATCATTCCCCTGCATGGGTATGGGGCGGGTATGGATTTGGCTAATTGAAGATGGGGGGGATGGTTTAGGCAAACCCGCCCCTAACCCGCCCCATTGCATCCCTAACCGCAAGGCGTCAAAAAGAAGAAGGAGAAACACCATCAAAATTCTAAAAGATGAAGAAGGACCGGTTTATAAGGGACAGGAAGGGGTTACTACCTGTCGGGTGGAGTATATGAAGAAGCTGTTTACAGCAGGAAGGGGACCGGAAATAAGTAAAATAATGCCTGCTGTAGAACGAAAGGTTACGGAAGAGATGAATCAAGAACTATTAAGGGAATTCTCAGAGGAGGAAATCTGGTATGCCTTGAAGCAAATGGGCCCAAATAAGGTGCCTGGTGCTGATGGGATATCTGCGGGATTCTTCCAAAAGCACTAGAGGGTGGTGGGTCAAGCTGTAAAAGATGAACTTAGAGGCTACCTTGAATCGGGAGATTTCCCACAGCAATTAAATCACACTATTATAGCTCTTATACCAAAGACTAAGAAGCCAGAAACTCCTCTAGAATTTAGGCCAATTAGCCTATGCAAAGTGTTATACAAGATTATGTCGAAAGTACTGGAGAACATACTTCCTGGATCAAGTCATTGGTGAACAACAGAGCGCGTTTGTGCCAGGTCGATTCATAAATGATAATGTCTTGATTGGATTTGAGTGCTTCCATGCAATGAAGCAGGAAAAAAAGGCTAAGAAGGGGGTGATGGCGGTAAAGCTAGATATATCTAAAGCCTATGACAGAGTGGAGTGGGGTTTTCTGGAAGCTATGATGAGGAGGCTGGGGTTTGCAGAACGGTGGTGAAGCTAATATTGGATTGCATAACTACAGTCTCTTATTCTATCCTGGTAAATGGCCCTCAATCTGACACTTTTACACCAGAGCGAGGGCTCAGACAGGGGGACCCTATCTCCCCATATATTTTCCTTTTATGTGTGGAAGGACTTTCTGCTATTACTTTAAAGGCTGTGGAAGAAGGAAAGATTCATGGTATGAAAGTTTCGGCTCAAGGGCCTAAGATTTCCCATCTGTTATTTGCAGACGACAGCGTTTTCTTCCTATGAGCCACCCCTCAGGAATGTCAGCAACTAAGGGAGATTCTACAGTTATAAGAGGCTGAATCGGGGCAGATGGTGAATGTGCAGAAATAAGAACGCCGAAAAATGTAACAATTGGTGATGACGAACGCCGAAAAAAATACGTCACCTACAAAATTAATCCTCCACTGAACTGAGAAAATGTGGTGTCTATTCGGGATTTTTGTATAAATCTTTATATAAAGAGATATACAAGGGGGCAACTGTAGACACCCCATTTTGTCCGGGTCAATTACTCAACTAAAATAACTGGTTAAGAGTGGTCTATGATTAAAGTTGGGGACGAGTATGCTCATAGTGGCTTATAAGATTAAGCAATAGCAAATTTTAAGTCGTTAATACGATTTAAGTTTGCTTTTGGAGTTATATAGACTTCCCATTTTTTGGTTTTGAATGAACAATTAACCACTAACCAAATTTTGGATCAGGTTCACATGATCAAACAAGTTTAGCAATAGCTATCCTTAATCACCATGTTGGGTTAATTGAACGTCGGGCTTTGTAAGATTGGGTCTCGACTTGCGAAACAATAGGCAATACAATAAAAATAAAACTTTTATTAATAATCTCAATAAATGATTGTTATATTACAATTACAAAATAAAAACTAAATAGTTATTAGTTAAAACCCAAATCAAAGTGCAAAGTCAACCAAGGTCAAAGTAAACTTGGTCAACCAAAGTCAAACAAGTCAATCAGGTCTGACCAGACCTGGACTGACCAAATCCAAACCGGTCTAACCCGAAACCGGTACTGTAGCATACTTGGGGACCAAGTTTCCTTTTCCTTATAAAAAGAACCCTTTGCAAGACGAAGGGAGGGGACTTTCGGCCAGACTCCCTCTCTTCTTCTCTTTCGGTTTTCACTCTTTCCTTCTACTTCCCTTCACCAAGAAAACAGAGCAGTCCACTCCTTCTTTTGTTTCTTTTTCTTCTTACACACTTCTTCTTCTTGTTCTTCTTGTTCTTCTTGCGCACAGGCAACAAAACTCTGCATAAACAAAACCACTTCTCTTTTTCTTTAGCCACAAAACCACGACAACAAGACAATAAAACATCTTTTCTTCTACTCCTAATCCCAACAAGCCCAAACAGACAGAAAAGAGACAACAAAAAGAGAGGAGGTTCTCACTTCTTACATCCTTTCTTCTTTGCCACGAACACACAACACAGAAAAGTAGCAGAAGGGCATCAAACATCAAGCAAAAGTGAACAGAAGTAAAGAAATTCATCCCCATCCCAAACATCAAGCAAAAAGTTGGTAGTCACTTAATCTTAAACCATCATTCACGATCCATATCATGCTTAGTTTTTCCTTTTAAGGTTTACCATTTCTTGTCTACGTCCACCTCTTCTTGTCATTTCAATATTTCCATTGGTTAAGCATATTAAAAGTAAAAAGATACATGATACATGCTTCCTTCATATGTTTCGTTTTAGTCGTTTTACTTAGCATTCCACCACATATACAACTAAGCTAATAAATATCCAAATACACACACTACCATAAACTCACAGGAAACCCAGATTTGCAAGATACCATATTCGCATAAAAATCTAGTTATAAACACAAAATTAACATCTGATTTTTCAAGCCATGAGCTTGAGAATCCAACAAGCTTACCATGAGCGCCACCAAATTCCTTGAACTAAACCCACCATAAAAGACACTGCCCATTTCCAGATTTTACACACCAAAACAATACCAAAGCCAAAATCCCAGATTCACAAAACCCACAAAAACCCCTACCCCAAAAGAAACCATTAGAAACCCCCCGATCAAATAATCAAACCCGTGTTCCCAAAGCGTGAACGATTATCCCATCCTAAAGATACAACGCATCACAACAATTTTCAGGATTCAAAATCCCCATATACAACCATGATTTTCCCGGAATTAAAAGCTACCTTGAAGCCACAAGATTTTGGGAACCAATCACCACAATTACCACAAAATTGATTCCACCATCAAACCAAATAATAAAAGACATCTTACCACAATAGTCTTTTACCTAGTCCACGTCGCCGTCGGTGAGACCTGTGACTGCCGACGGC